TCCCGGTAATGATGTCCTTACTGAAGAAATAAAATATTCATTAAATAAATTAGCAATTTTTTCATGATCAGAAACAAGATGTCCATTTACTGAGATTTGTGAATTGTTATTAAAGTTTTATTGTTACTTTCACCTGTCACTGACTTAATCGTTTCCCATAATATTTTTGGATTCTTACTGGCTGAAATAATTTGATTTTACCTGTGTATGTGCTCAAGTGACTTGCACAGCTGGTATATGTAGAGTTTGACTGTGTGTTCAGGCAGTGGGGTTTTTCTTCCTGCAACAAACAAGCTTGTATTACAGAAACGCCACGTTTTTAAGTTCCACCTTTATTTTGAAATTTCTTTACCTTGTATGAACTCGTAGATGTTCATCTCCATCAGTTCACATATTAAAGACACCGTTCCTGTTTCTTTGTCACTGAAACGTTGCGGCGGATTATTAAAACGTGTCACAACAAACATAAAAAAAATACCACACAAAAATCTACACTACTCACAAAATCAGCTCATGCAGTTGGATGATGTTTGCGTGAGGACTCAGTCTCCTCATTGCCTGGACTTCCCGGAGGTTGTGGGCCTGTTCAAGACTTGGAAAGGAAGCGGTTTTGCTAAATTTACATTTTCTGATTTACAGGTACTCATTGTAGAGTATGAACACAAACATAAAAATGGTTATCCTGAACTTAGCACCAAAAAAATAAGGAAATATGTTTGGTAGATTTTTTTTTGTTGTAGCAATGCTTTTTGGCAATAAACCTTATAATGTGGGAAAGYCTTTTAAACTCTTATTAAATGGTGCCACATTTGTAAGGAACGTGCATTCATGGGATGAGCAGTGGAGCTAAGTATGTGGGTTGCGCACATGAAACACTGCCGAAATATCCGCTTATTGTGCTGTGGACACTTGTTTTTAGCTTCTGGTTCCCCCAGGTGCTGCCAATCGTGCCCGGTATACAATTAATTTGGCAAAAAGCATTGTTTACAACCAAGAAATAATCTACCAAACACAAATTTCCTTACTTTTTGTGCTAAATTTATATCAAATGGTGCAGTTTGAAAACGTTTATTACAGTAGTTTCCTGATAAATTGAAGTGCAATATGGGTCCACATTCAATGTAAACAAAGTCCTTAGCTGGCCATAGTTCGTGTATGTAAACAATTGTAGGTCGGTTTAACGACTGGACCTATCTCTAGTCAATGTGACTGTTTCCATGAGTAAACAAATAACATTAAAGGTTTGCTTGCAAGCTTTCTATATAAGGACACAGATCCWGATTTTATTTCCACTAATAAGTTTTAGTCTTTGCAACGAATACCATTAATCTGTTTTAGACTTAGAGTGTAATAAAGTTGAATAAATTGAATTAAATATTAGGTATTCTACATAATAAAATGTCAAAAGCATGCTTTCGTGCACCTAAATAGAAATATTAAATGATAAAAAGTGACACAACTTGAGGATGTCTGGCCAATGCTTGTTTCAAGCCTTGCTGCTCACCAAAAGTAAAAAGGGTGAGTTTACGTCTAAGGGCACACTTCAGGCAACACGGGGTGCCATGCTGCTGGCTCAAGTTTCAAGGGTCAAAACACGACAAGAGGACCGAACAGAGTCAGGAAGTGACACCGGTAACCCGACCAAGTGAACAAAACATACCTGTTAATCGTCTGCTTCATTATTTTACAGGCGTAAAACTTGCCATCCTTGACGCTCTGTGTTTTCAGCACCTCTGAAAACGTGCCCTCTCCAATTTTCTTTATTGTTTTGTAGCCTGAAACGGAATAATTAAAAAAAGAGAGAAATGAAAAGAAGAATAACTGTAGAAACACATAACACTTTGAGGGGGGGAAAAACATTTTAAGAATACATTTTGCTTCCCAAACAGTAGACATTCATAATAGTGTTGATGATGATTTTATTTAATGTTTTAACTAGGGATGCATGATATCTGCATTAWTATTGGTATCGGCTGATATTGGTCATTTTTTAGAACATCGGTATTGTTACATATGTAAAACTGGGCCGATATTAACATCCGATATGGATTTCCCACTTTTTATCTTTGTGTTTCTGTTTTTGGAGGGGAGACGGTTGGTTGAGCAGCATCTGTTCGATCATGATAGTGATAATGATGCTGCATAGCCAGGAATAACTAGGGAGCCATGTCAGAAGTTTGGTTGTTTATTTACAGTATCAAAAAATGCAAGTGTGTTTGTGTGCATATGTATAATATAATTTCTGTATTTGTGTAATATTAAATATCGGTTATCKCCCATAATGGCAATAATTATATCTGATATCGATATCGGCTGAAATTTTCATATCAGTGCATCCCTAGTTTTAACTGGCTTAATTCCTGGATGCAAAAATGTCTTTCTAAATGCAATCTTGTACTTTCAATGAAAGATTTTACTTAAAATAAATTAATTTAAAAAAGCTAGAAAATCAGGTTATCTTACTAAATTAAACTGACAATTTGTGGAGAAGTTGTCTTAACCATACTAACATTTAACGTTGACCTAAAAAGCAACTAAATTGTTTCTTTAAAAAATAATTTGTAATTCTATTTTTAATGGTTGAAATTATTTAGATTTAATACGTTTCCGGATTTTATTTATTTATTTTTTACTTAGCGTGACCAAAATACTAAATAAAGTTCAGACGAAAACACAATTTAACCAGTATAACTTAAATGTTTTTGAGCAATACGCATTTTATTTTTTAGACAATATTGTATGGTTTAAGGTAGCAAACATTTTTTTTTTTCAGATTCTCATCCTGACCGCCTGTCAGACACATTTTGTTTTCTACTTACAGTGAATTCCTTTGAGTCTTTGTCGCCTCATTTCCGTCTATTGTCTGTGACATGAGTATCTGTACWGTAAGTGCTCGTTTTAAGCCTGAGAATGAGGTGTTTCTCAGGCATCGAGGTGATAAACTGACACCGAAGTCTAGCCTAGCCTCGCTGTGAGTGACCGTCGCCTTGGTAACGGAGCACGCCTTCGCCCTCCGCTCTGACCCGAGGAACCCGGAAACTGAGCTCCTGTCACACCGACCCGCTCCCTCCGCGGGAAAATATTAGAATAAAACACGAAAGAAATAAAAATAAAAAAAGGCTCCGACAGTTGCTATAGTCAAGGTGATTTATTCGCAGCAGGCCCAGATTTTAGACATAACTGACTCTCGCGCCCATCTTTACCTTTTCTCCAGAGGTGGGCGGTTTTTTCACTCGGCCGCGGGTTGTTGTTCTGCATCTCCGCAGCATCCCCCCTGTTGTTCCAGTCTGTGCTCTGGCTCGTTTTGCACGCATTTCTCAGGCATGCTCTGTTCTTCAGGTCTATAAGCCAGTTTGAGTAGTGCATCATTGACGCACAGAAAAAGTTACGACGCCTACCATGAGCGTCTCAAGTAGTTTTACAGACGTAAATCCTGCAGAAGCCAAGCAGTAGAGTCACTACACTCACATATAACAGCAGACACAAGAGAGCATCAACTGCTGCTGTTCAGTGAGTGTAAAGACGTGGACCTGCTGGTATTTTGGACCTATCGGGCTTCCGTCTGTAGAAACTCATCTGCGRCTGCGCAAACCCCGCAGGCTCCTGGTGCATGTTTTCGCTCCTTGTTCCTCTGGAGATGTGAAAGTCTAAACTAGTTTTTTTCGTTTTTTACTTTAACCCAGTTCAGTCTGGATTTAAATCACAATGAAAACCAGATTCACCACCGTSGATATCAGGGCGGTTATTGCCGAAATCAATGCCAAGTAGGTGACAGGTGCTAGTTGTGGCTAAGCTAACTTTAGCCTGTTTCARTGTTTTTATTTACACATGCAGATTGACCATTCACTGATTTTAATCATTTTCTTTCACAGCTATATTGGCATGAGAGTAAACAACGTGTATGACATCGACAATAAGACGTATCTCATCCGTCTACAGAAGTAAGAACAGTTCAACTACTTGCTATAAACGTTTCAGACATTAGTTAAAAGTTCAAGTTCAAAATATCATTGTAGTTTTATGCCGAGAAATGAATGTGTCACTTTCTTAAAACCTTGAAAATCTCAGGCCTTATCACAACAGATCATGTTCAGTCCTTGCAGATATGCAAACAATGATTACTTACTTAAATTTAAATGTTCATTAAAATCTATTCAATGATTCGTGACATATTTTTGCTACTAAAAAGAGTTGACTCCAAATAGATAATGGGGTATTTTTAAACAAAGATCTTGTCTGAATCTAGTGGTTCTTAACACACACGTGTTCACCTGCACCTTTTAGTGATACCCTTTTGCGATTACAAAGTGTGGAAAACGAGACCTGAGAACAGTTTTGAAAAACACAATCGTAGCATAWAAAAATTATGTTAATGAAGAATATCCAGTTTGCACTTGAACTCAGGAGCGCCACATTCTGTTGCTGTTTCAGGCCAGACAGCAAAGCTGTTCTTCTGGTGGAGTCCGGAACTCGTATTCACTCCACAGACTTCGAATGGCCCAAAAACATGATGCCTTCAGGCTTTGCAATGAAAGTAAGTACATAGTGATGATTTCTTGTTAAAGTCCATGCTGTACGGATTATAACACATTAAAGCTATCTTAAAACTCATCTCTTCTCTTTGACCTTTGACACCATGAGATTATTTTTATTTTATTATTGTATTTTTGTTATTTTCTTTTATTATTATATTTTTTATTATTATTGTCTTTTAATTGGGTTTATGTGTTTTTATGGCTGTTTTAATGTACTTTCAGGCTTTTATAATGTATTGTGACTTCTGCTGTGTYTTATTGACTGTAACTGTACAGCACTTGTTTAATCACCTGAAACACTGACATAAACCAGAGGATGAGAAAAGCCAGAAAATGCAGACCGAAGCCACGTTGGCTGCATGCAAATGCAATTGTCATCGTATTAATCGTCATCTACTAAATGCCACAATTTATTGTGATAATTTTTATGTCAATATTGCCCAACCCTAATGCAGATGGATTTCTGGACTCTGCTTTACTGCATTTCATCATTTCTCACAGGAGATGAGTCTTCATTCACCATCAAATCCTCTTTTCTCTCAATAGTGTCGAAAGCATCTGAAGACACGCCGGCTAACGCAGATTAAGCAGCTTGGRATTGACAGGATCGTGGACATCCAGTTTGGTTCCGACGAGGCTGCCTACCACTTGATTGTTGAGCTTTACGACAGGGTTAGAGAGTCGCTCCCATCTACACGTCTCACAGCTTCGACAGTTCGTCCAGCTTCATTCAAATCACGTTTATTCACGTCCATTCCCAGGGCAACATCATCCTGGCGGATCACGAGTACACCATCCTGAATCTGCTGAGGTTTAGAACGGCCGAAGCWGAAGATGTTAAGATCGCTGTGAGGGAGCGGTACCCAGTGGAGAGCGCCAGACCCCCTGAACCTCTTATCAGTTTGGAGAAGTAACGTCATTTATGATGAATGTATAGATAAAGAAGACATACATCTGAAGTCGGTTAGCATTTACTTCATGAATGCACTGTAGTGGAGGAAACACTGGTATAAATGTTATCTTTTATYTAGACTTACTGAAATCCTGAGCAAAGCGTCAAACGGAGAGCAAGTGAAGAAAGTCCTGAACCCCCACCTGCGTGAGTTCATGAGTTCACTCAGCAAATATCACACACATTTGTAGAAGAGAGCCCCGAGCTACTCCTCAATCACAACCATTTTCACACACATCTTTTGGAGAACTTGTTTTTGAGATTCGTAACTCTGGCAAAATCTTTCTAAAAATGACAAACATGTTGCCTTTTATCCTTGGATATGACCAACAACTGTCAACAATGAGCAGTTGTGCAAGACAAAACAATTCAGTAACGCTGACAGAAACCTTTATAACTTGCATATCCACACGTCTCAGGTCTGCAGTTGACCTCCCATATGTTCTGGTCATTTTTATCATAGTCACACTGATCTATAAAGGAAAACAAACTTAAACATCAACATAAAAACCTGATTCCATCTTTGAAGCACGGCAGTGGAAGTATCATGTTTGGGTCTATTTAGGTCACAAATACCTGACTCAACATTAAAGAAAATCTTAATTTAAAATTTGTGTCAAGACAATTCATAGAAAAATGCATCAGCTAAGGGGAAATGACAAAAGTGTAATTTAACAGAACCATTTGAAAACGAAATATTATTTTTACAACTTTCATACAGGAATAAGACCACTTTTTCCAAGTTTTAAACGTTTTTAATTACAAAAAACACTTTTGTGTAACTATACTTAAGAGATTTCCTTCATTTCACACAGTTTAGAGTTAATATATCAGGTCAGCATTAGAACTAATCTTTGTTCTGTGTCCTTCTTCAGCCTATGGAGCCGCTCTGATAGAACACAGTTTAATTGAAGCAGGACTGCCCGGCTCGCTCAAAGTTGACGGTCAAATTGATGAAGGTATAGTGCGAAAGTGCTTTTTAATTTCTTTTAAATTAATTTAGTTTTTCGACTGGATTTGATCTGCCTTCTTTCTCAGTTTCACCAAAAATCCTGGCAGCCCTGCAGATTGCTGMAACCTACATGGAAAAAACTGAAACTTTTAGTGGCAAAGTAAGCAAGGAATCTTTTCTAAGTTGCGGTAAAGCGTGTCGAGATTGTTTACGATATGTTTTAACTCTGTTTTGTCATGTCAAGGGTTACATCATTCAAAAGAGTGAGAAGAAACCGAGTTTAACTCCAGGCAAACCCAGTGAGGAGCTCCTCACGTACGTTTTGTTTTGTTGCAAACACGTTTATATGTTGTTTCGTAGTTTATCTTAATAATAACGTCTCACTACAGATATGATGAATTCCATCCATTCCTGTTCGCTCAGCACGCAAAGAGCCCTTATTTGGAGTTTGATCGTTTTGACAAGGTAAAATATGACCAAAAAAATTAATAAAAATAACTCCTGTTTGTGAGAATGACTTACTGATGTTTTGATGCAGGCAGTCGATGAGTTCTTTTCTAAAATGGAGAGTCAGAAGATCGACATGAAGGCGCTGCAGCAGGAGAAACAGGCGCTGAAGAAGTTGGAAAATGTTAAGAAGGACCACGAGCAGAGGCTGGAGGCCCTGCACCAAGCACAGGTCGGCAGCAGCGAGAACAAACGTCTCACTTTGTGTTCCCAGCTTTTATTTCAGCGCTGTTTTCTCAACTCGGCTTGCTTTTGGCAGGAGGTGGACCGAGTCAAAGGAGAACTCGTGGAGATGAATTTGCCCATCGTAGAGCGGGCGCTGCAGGTGGTGCGCAGCGCTCTGGCCAACCAGGTGGACTGGACAGAAATCGGCATCATCGTGAAGGAAGCTCAGGCTGCCAGTGACCCTGTGGCCTGCGCCATCAAGGAGCTGAAGTTGCAGACCAACCATATCACCATGCTTTTAAAGTGAGACCACCTGACAAAATACCTGTCTGAAATCTGTGCTGCATTGTGTGATTTTTTTTTATATTATTTTTATTTTTGCCCCCACCAGAAATCCTTACATTTCTGAGGAGGACCAGGTTGAGGAAGAGAAAAAAGATGTAGTGGAGGAGAAAGGGAAGAAAAACAAGAGTAAAGACAAAGGACAAAGCAAGAAGCAGCAGCGGAACAAGCCCATGTTGGTGGATGTGGATCTCGGCCTGTCAGCTTATGCTAACGCCAAACGGTAGTTTTGCTGTTGGGACACAGAAACATGTATTATGTGGGAAAAAAAGTTTATCGATGCTCGAGCTCATTGCTGTTTTACTTTAAGGTACTACGACCACAAACGCAGTGCAGAAAAGAAGGAACAGAAAACCATGGAAGCAGCAGGCAAGGTGAGGCAACTGCAGCTTTTAATTAATACTATAATGATTAAAACGTCAGTTTTAGCAGCTTTGCAAAATGAACTAATGAGCACATTTTCATTTAATGCCCCTTTCAAAGGCTATGAAATCTGCAGAGAAAAAAACTCAACAAACACTAAAGGAAGTTCAGACCGTTACCACCATTCAGAAGGCCAGGAAAGTCTACTGGTAAGATGCTGTATGACTTTAGATACCACTCCAATTCCAATAAAGCTGGGATGTAGGCACCAAATTCAAAATGAGTGAATATTTGAAAAAAACAAAACAATAAAGTTATCAGTTTGAACAATAAATATCTTGTCTTTGTAGTGTATTCAATTGGTTATAGGTTGAAAAGGATCATTTCTGTTTTTATGTTTTACACAACATCCCAACTTCATTGGAGTTGGGGTTGTACATACGGAGGCTTTCATCAGCGGAAAAGCACTGGAGTTTTAACTGGAAACCGTATCTGTCTCTGTGGTTTCAGGTTTGAGAAGTTCCTGTGGTTCATCAGCTCCGAGAACTACCTGGTCATTGCAGGAAGGGACCAGCAGCAGAACGAGATGATTGTGAAACGCTACCTTCGGGCAGGCAGGGAAACTTTTCTCTGCCTCTAATAACGAATTCGCTCCCAAGACGTTACCGGTGGACGATGTTCTGACAGTAACTGGTTCGTCTCATCGTTTTTATTTTTCACTCTCAGGTGATATCTACGTTCATGCTGACCTCCATGGAGCGACTAGTTGTGTCATCAAAAACCCTTCAGGTAAACTGTAGTTTATAAATCGTGACTACTTTTACTCAGATCACAGTGACAGTTGATGCTTTATGTTTTATTTGTTGTGGATGAACTTGTTTTTCCTCCAGGTGATCCCGTTCCTCCCCGGACTCTGACAGAAGCTGGCACTATGGCTGTGTGTTACAGCGCCGCTTGGGATGCCAAGATCATCACCAGTGCTTGGTGGGTCCACCATAACCAGGTTAGTCACCTGCTGTGGTCGTTCCGTTACACTGATCCAGAAAACTGGAGCGATGTAGGATAAGACTGATCCTCGCAAGCTGCAGCCTGCAGAAACCTAAATGTTTTATTTTCTGCAGCTGCTTTGACATCGCTAAATGTGCTGACAAGTCAGTTTGTCTTGATCTTTATCACAAGAAGATGATCTTTGTTTTAAAGTACCTGTGACATTCATATCCATGAAATACAAAAAGTCAAAGAAAATATATTTAAATTTAAGAAACTTAGCATAATTACATGATTTTATCTATTATGTCACATAATTGGCATATTTTCTTTTGAATTTTGCTCAGCTAAAGTGAAACAGGAAGTGACATGAAATGGGAACTCTTTGAGAAAGATAACTCCCTGTTTTTTGTTTATTTAAACAATATTATTTGAACTCTGACTCTTTCTCATATCTTTGTGATAGTGATTAAAATAATCTCTATAGTCTGTGTTGTCAGCCTTTGTAGCAACGCTCGTTCACATGCAGACATTCCCCTTTGACATCACTTCCTGTTACTTCACATGCAAAAATCTCAACAACTGTTCATCTCAGCGGTGTGAAATCTTTTTTTTACAAAATGCTATCARCGTTATCTTTCCAAAAATACATTCATATTTATTAGAAAAAATGACATCACAGGCACTTTAACGTCCCAGTCTGGTTTAGTGGATCACTGTTCATTTTAGCTCACGATCCGCTTCAGCTGTTGGAAACGTTTTATAGCTAAAGACTGAATAAGCTTTGTTTTTACAGGATAATTATTTAATTTTAGTTTCACAATAGTTGCAACAAAAATTCTAAGCAAGCAGGTTGTTTTTGGACTCTGCTGGATGCATAGTTACTGCGTTTAACTCCTCATCAAATGTTTGCAAAGCAGTTGTCATTTTGCTCAATCAGTAGAAACACAGTATTAGCTTAATGTAGAAGTATTTTTGGATGTTTTCAGGTGTCAAAAACGGCTCCAACAGGAGAGTATCTGACCACTGGGAGTTTCATGATTCGAGGTATGACTCCACATCTTTTAAACCCAGCCGACAACACATTGTTTTCAGGACAAATGATCTAATTGCTCCTCTTTTATAAATCTCTTTTCGTCAGGAAAGAAAAATTTTCTGCCTCCCTCCTACCTGATCATGGGTTTTGGTTTCGTTTTCAAGGTAAACGCCAACTTCGAAGTCTTCTACCTGTTAAATCCAAACACTGAAGTTGCCGTTTCGTTTGCCCCTCACAGGTGGACGATCAGAGTGTGTTTCGACACAGAGGGGAGCGGAAAGTAAAAACAGTCGAGGAGGACATGGAAGAGGTCACATCCAGAGCCGCTGAGCTGCTGGAGGAAGGGGAGGAGCTGATAGGTTGGGAGAACAAATATTAAACTGCGTTTGTGGAAAAACTCCAGTCGACTGAGAGAGCTGCTCCTCTTCCTCTCACAGGGGATGACAGCAGCAATGAAGATGGAGAGTCGAAGGAGGTGGAAAACAAACTGATGGAAGAGGAGAAAACTGAGAGCGGGGAGGTGGATGCTGCAGATGCAGGGGGGATGAAGAGCAATCCAGAGGAGCACAAGGAGGAAGACAGCAGCGAGGAAGAAGAGGCAGAGGAATTCAGCTTCCCAGATACGACCATCTCCCTCTCTCATTTACAACCAAACAGGTAACGTTGGCACCAGCTAAGGAATTGAAAGCCTTTCCACGAGTTTTACAATACAACTTTATTTATAAAGCACTTTAAAGTGCATGTGACATCAATTTTTTTATAATAACTATGAATGTATTTTTGGAAAGATAACATTGATAATATATTGTAAAAAAGATTTCACGCCGCTGAGATGAGCAGTTGTTGAGATATTTGCATGTGAAATAACAGGAAGTGATGTCAAAGGGGAATGTCAGCATGTAAACAGAGCGTTGCTAAAATGGCTAACAACACAGACTGTAGAGAAGAATTTGATGTTTCTTTAGAATATTTTAATCACTATCATAAAAAGATGAGAAGGAGTCAGAGTTCATATAATATTGTTTCAATAAACAAAAACCAGGAAGTTTTCTTTCTCACAGAGTTCCCCTTTGATGTCACTTCCTKTTTCACTTTAGCTGAGCCACATTCAAAAGAAAATTTGCCAATTATGTGACATAACGGGTCAAATCATGTGTATTATGCCAAGTTTCTTAAATATAAATATATTTTCTTTGACTCTTTGTATTTCATGGATATGCATGTCACAGGCACTTTAAAACTAACTGTAATGGCCAGAGTTTGATTTGATTTGATTTATTGATTCAACAGAAAAAGATTACTAAAAATTAAGCTTGACTCAGCATAATTGCTGTTTTACAGCAGGTTCCTGTTCTGCAGCACATAAAACACTCAGAATTACAGCATCACAATCACATCATTGTACACCATAGACACAAAGACAAACAAGCATACCAAATTTCARRAAGGCAGCATTTGCAAAATAGGACGTCTAAAWATGAGCASAACAAMAAGTGTCCAGCAGATGGCAGACAAGATTCTTCTTAAAGGGCTGCAGTTTTGAAATGGACTTTGTTTTGAGGAATGTCATTCCATGCTTTAGTATAAACATAGAAGAAAGACCTCTGGCTGTAACAGTTTTTAAAAGTTGGTAATATCAKTTGTCCTTTTGTAACAGATCTAGTTGAAGAGTGCTGCTGTGCACATAAAATCAAACATTAAAAACAATAAAATATGTGAAATGAGCCATTAAATCATAAAAACAACAAACTAAGCAATAAAAAACATATTACCGTTAGTTAAAAGCCAAGGAGAAAAAAATGTCTTGAGCAGATTTGAAAACAGGAAGTGAGTCGGCCTATCTGTATAAAGGCAGCTCATTCCACAATTCATCATCTGAAAATGCTCCATCAGCTACTTGAAATAATATTTATTTTTGTTTCTAGGAGTGCTCAGAACCCTGGCTTCAATAAAGAAATAACAACGCAGGTAATGATTAGTATCCTCAGGTCATTTTAGATTGTTTCATAATACAATTTAAAGCATCTCCTTTCTTTAGGCTGAGGTGGATTCACAAGGAAAGAAACACATGAGTGCCAAACAGAGAAGGTGAGCGACTGAAAAAAAAAACGACATGAACGCAAACCATTTGTTTTATTATTTAGGCTTTTGAATTAGAGGTGTTAGTGTTGGCTGTTTTTTTTTTTTCTTTTAGAGAAGAGAAGAGGAAGAAGCAGAGACAGGAGGGTTGGGACGCAGAGGACAAGAATGAGGTCTTGTCTGCGGGGTCAGCTGGGGATCAGGGGCCTAAAAGTGGAGGCGGCCCCACGCAGCAACCTCTGAAGAGAGGCCAAAAGGTGAGAGAAGACAGAGTTAAAACATTTATTATTTTGTAATAAGTCTTCCTTGTTTTACGTATGATGTAAAAGAATGGTCACAGTAAACCAGGGCTATTCAACTGGCAGCCCGCGAGTGACCAAAGTTCGGCCTGCCAATTGGTTCATTCATCTCTTAAGCCCAAACCCCCAGTTTTCTACTTTAATTACTATAAGTTATTTTAGTTGAACCTAGACTTGTTTGGTATCTACAGAAACATCAGAATCTTGGCTACAAGCTGGTAAAAACCATTTCTATGTACATCCAAGACAGTTAAAACTACAAGCAGCTGAAGATAAAACTATGAAAGTGAAAATAAAATTGGTTTAAAATTTTGGCAAGTCAGAGATATCAAAATATTTTGTGGTAAATAAGAGGCATAATATGTTTTTCTTTTATTGTCACTACATTTATTTAATAGGGTTCTGTATGTTTTCATGATTAAATACAGCAAAATAAACTATTTCAAAGGTAACAGATCTTTGTAATACTTGGTTTATTTACATAACAACTTTAATTGCTGGATGTTCGGCCCCTGAGCTGTTGGTCTGCATTAACTGTGGCCCCCGGACCAATTTAGCTGAATAGCCCTGCAGTAAATGATTTGGGCTCAGTATGTTTTTAAACAACCTATAAGCTAAAACTAAAGAGGATGAGGATTCAGTAAAAGCACCACTGCGTCTCCTGCGATCTGAACAGAACAAGATGAAGAAGATCAAAGAGAAGTACAAGGACCAGGATGAAGAGGACAGGGAGCTGATGATGCAGCTGCTCGGGGTGAGGAAGAACAAGCTGTGCAACTTTAAATGTGCTGAAAAGTGATGTGAACACTGTGTCCACAGTTCTAAAGAGAGAAACTCTTCTCTCCCTTTAGTCGGCCGGTTCCTCCAAGGAGGAGAAAGATAAGGGGAGAAAGGGGAAGAAGGGAAAAGGGAAGGAGGAGCCCGTCAGGAAACCGGCCCCTCAGAAACAACAGCAGAGACCTCGAAGTGTTGCAACAGAGGTGAAGAAACCRGAGGAGGAGGAGGAGAGGCAGGCTGGAGGACAGGGAGGTCCTGCTGAACAGGAGGACAAGGTAACAACGTTCAGTGAAGATGAAATGAATGGAAAACGTGTTGAAATCTTTAAAATACTCCTGTTTTTTTTCTTCTTCTTCCAGGAAGATGAAGTGGATCAAGACAATCCCGGAGCAGAGGTTGGTTTGAACCTTTGAACGTACACACTTTGAAAGAAAACTCGTCTTTTYCTCCAGAGTTCCTTCATTCTCTTCTTTGTCGGAATCAGGAAGCAGAAACTTTGCTGACGTCTCTGAGCGGCCAGCCTCACGCTGAGGATGTGCTGCTGTTTGCCGTGCCAGTCTGCGCTCCGTACACCGCCCTCTCCAACTACAAGTATGCGTGCAAACCTTTATTTTGTGTGTGAGAAAAACACAAACACACTTCAAGGTTAATGAGAAGTTTGTTGTCCACAGATACAAAGTGAAGTTAACACCGGGTTCTCAGAAGAAAGGAAAAGGTATGCATGGATTATTGTTTGATTTATCTTTRATGTTGTCACAGTTAAAAACTTTTTTTTCTTTTTTGTTTTAACAAGCTGCTCGAACTGCGTTGTTCAGTTTTATCAAAGCCAAAGAGGCCTCATCCAGAGAGAAGGACCTGTTCYGCAGTGTCAAGGTAAGAAAAAAAGAGGTGTCGTGTTAAATAATACGTTTCAAWCCACTGGACTGTGGTGGCCCAGAAGGGTCAACAACATGCAAAAACCACAACGGAAGAAGAATACAGACAAAGGACTGTGGCTGGGGGAGTTTGAGTAGAAAAGTMCAACATTAGCACTGTCTAGTTCAGGGGTTCTTAATCTTTTCGACTTTGGGGCCCAAATTGTTGAATCAAAAGCAGCATGAGGCCCATTCAGACATTAACAATGTACTGATCGAAGTGAGAATTGATCTAAAGCTTTGTTTAATTTGTATTTTAATACAGTTTAACTAGCATAGACCTCATCAAATAAATCACAAGACATGATTATGACAAACATTTACATACCTGCCAACATTTGCTGGTGCCAGTGAGGGACAAATTAAACGTATTAGCGTGCACCAACAGCACAAAGTGATCCTAGAAGGGTCCGGATGCATACCCCCTAGAAAATTTAGAAAAAAAATACTGAAAACTATGCATTTTTCAGCCATTTGAAGTGCRTRTTTCTAAATACTTGGGATTTAGAAAAACATAAAGCTGTTGTATATTTATTGAAAGGACAGTGCCTTACAACTTTGAGATGAACTTTATCTGAGATCATAGTTGAAATTAAAATTAGTTCTACTCTTATTCTTGTGTTACTCACTAAACACCCTGAGGTTGCCTGTAACAAAATGCATTAACCTGTAATGACACAGAAAAACTGAAAAATAGAAAATACAACTTGCCCTACTGTTTGGTCCAATYTTTATGGTATTTAYCTATTCCTCTGRTGGCTCTCTTTATGAGCTGTGAAAYTTCTGATATGTGGAAAAAAAAAGTAGGGATGCACRGTATCTACATTAATWWCGGWATCGGTCCGATAAGTAAAACTGGGACGTCCARWATTGATTTCTCACTTTTTATCTTTGTGTTTCTGTTTTGGGAGGGGAGATGGTTGGTTGAGCGACATCTATTTGATCATGATAGTGATACTGATGCTGCGTAACCAGGAATAACTGAAGTAGGGAGTCATGTCAGAGGTCTGGCAGTTTTATTAAATGTATCAAAAAAAAAAAGACTCAAGTGTGTTTGTGCGTTTATATATAATATAATTTGTGTGTTTGTGTAATATCGGTAMATATCRGTTATCGGCCATAACAGCAATAWWTAYATCGGATATTGATATCGGCTGAAATTTTCATATCTGTTAGGATTGAGCATAATCGTATTGTGTGCAATTAATCGTCAGGAAAAACAATCGATTACTTTTTGGCACTTGGTGATTAATACAATTAAAGCCACCAGGCAGAGTCCGCTCGGTGCTCCTCTCCGCTTCAAATATGACCAACATTGAAAAAAAAAAAGTTCTGTAATGTATTAATCTATCAACACAGTTTTAATTTGATGTACAGCCTGAAGTCTGTAATTTTGACACAATTTGGAACAGATTTTTATGAAGAGCAAATCTTTCCCACTAAATTGGTCATGTGACCGGGACATGAGGGTGTCCAGGGACTCCAKRGKRTTAATCGTCAMATTAATCRTTATCGGCTAAATACCACAATTAATCGTGATTARTTWTTTTGCCAATATTGCCCAACTCTAATATCGGTTCATCCCTACAAAAAAAATCAAAAAATAAACAACATCCCATCCCTCACGCACTATTTTTTCTGACAGCCTCAGTAACTAAAGATCACTTTTATACTATTACCCCCACCACCACAAACACACATTCACACACACACATACACAAAAAATATTTTTACATATGTATATTATTTATTTATTTTACCAGAAGCTTCATATTTGTGACAAATTCTAGATGCTGTTTTAGTTTGGAGGGCTTTAGTGTTTTGTTTGATAGCTAGTCCCATGGCTATCTGTTAAAGTCTGCATTATACTTACTTTAGAAAAATATGTTTCCATTTCTCTAACTTTTTTTGAGGCCCTCAGTGTGGTGATCACTACGGAAGCTGAGAGCGGACATTTTCCGCCATTAACACAGCGTTTTCTCATTTTAACGAGTTAATTTCCCAATGGTTTTCCTCTTGTGTATCATTCGTTAACCATGGACGGCCCATGGTCCTCAGCCGGTCAGCAATGAAGTTTASTATTTCATAACATGGGCTGAAATCGCCCAATTATGGGTCGTGGCTCGAGGGTYAAGAATCTCTCTTTTTGTTGATGTGCTTTTGCTTTTTGTTGACCCTTCTGGACCACCGTATTAGACAGATTTGAATGAAACTCAAATTAATCACTGGATGTAAATCTACAACTGACGTTTTGGAAAATGGCTGCCACAGCTAAGCAACTTTCCTCAAACACACAAAAAAAGGCCAAAATTCAGTTGATTTTACAGATATTAAGCTACATTTTGGTGTGATAGTAGCTAAAGGTAATCTCCAACTCAACTGATAGTGCGAGATCTGTTTGTGAAAACTCGTGCATCAGCTCTTGTTGATTTTTGTCATTTTATTGTTCTTTCAGGATGCAGACYTATCCAGAAACATGCCTGGGAAAGTGAAAGTGTCTGCGCCAAACCTGCTGGCTGCCAAGAAGAAATAATTAGAAAMCTGCCAAAACTTGCACAGAACTGCAAACTGGTGAAACTTAATTTCCATTTTAAATCATCTAAGTTGCAGGTTTCCCATTTAATACAGAACTTTGTTTAAATAAGAGCTCTTTAATTGTAAAAACTGATTGTATTTCCTCATCAACATGTAAAAAAAATGTTAAAGAAGCCTCCTTTTGTGGATTTTATTTTTTATTAGTGTCCAAAGTAGATGCTACAGCAATTGTAAGCAGTGTTACCAATTAAAATAAAATGGAAAAACAAAAACAGTCATTTTGTGCAAACCAGGCCAGTACAAACAAAGCCCTACTGACATGAGGCATTTCAGTGCAACGTGGCTCAACATTGTTTTTTTTACACTTGCTTCTATTAACTTATTAAATTAAAACTGCTACAGGAGTCACTTGTACCAAAGGCTATAWAAGCCTCTTTGAGAACATAAAAATTAAACTTTCCCCAAACATCTTCAGTTTATTTACAWATAAGAGTTAACATTTACGCAATTCCTAAAGAGACAGATTTGAGTTTCATGAAGCAATGAAGYGTGGTTTATGGTTTGTGAGAGCAAAGATGAAACATTTGTGTAAAAATAAAGGAAAAACTATCAAGCTAAATGTTAGTTGAATCCAGAAAAGACTGAAAGCAAACTAAGCTCAGTTTGGATTCTGCATCTTTGTATTTAGCATTAAGAGGTTTTTGACATTTTAAGATGGTAAGACCAAACTTGTTTTCMCTCCAGCCTTCTTTACAAGTTGAAACAGTAAAAGTTTGGATTTACTTTTTATATTGGAATATAGTGAAAACATAAGCATGAATTAATCCTGAAACTGCAAAAACAAACAAACAAAAAAAAAAACCAGCGTGGATTTTATCTGTATCAACAAGCTAAAAGATCAGCAGCTCCACAGAGGGTTCAAGTAGCCTGGCCAAAAAAATAAAAATAAAATAAATCAATAAAATAGGAAGGTGACAAACACTAAAAATGCCTTGAGGTTGTCGAGGGTTCTCAGAGCACTTATTTTCCYGTCTGAGGCTGGAATTTTCTGCTTTTGGACCGCACTAGCCACGKTGACAACGAGCTGTATGTGTGATAGCAGGAAACGATCAGAATGACTGAGGGAGCAGATTGTCTGGACACTAAATATTGTTGCTGATTGTGCCAAAGTCAGAGAGACTTCGCAGTGCTTTTCTTCCAGGGRAAAAACAAAAACAAATGCTATGGGGCCAACACATCATCAGGATTACAAATACAAAGTTGTTGACTATTGCTCTGACTTCTCAAGTGTCCAACACATCGAATTAACGAGCCTGCTGTGACAGAAAGAGGTTTCCGTACAAACGTAGTGTTCTGCTGTCCTCCTGGACTAAGATCCCAGAGTGTTGACGTGGGACATTCTCAGTTTGAGGCTGTGCAGGAGATGTTTAGGTAAGCAGTCCCAGTAACAAGACAAACGTTCCCTGTGCTGCAGAATGGTCTCCATACAGAACCTGAGGAATAAAACAGTATAAAAATTAAAAATCCATCCATGTGCTCGGCTGTTTGCTTCTATCCACACTCACCGAACTAATGATTTAGGCTGGACGTTAAAAACCAGCAACTCGTTGCTGTGAGCCTGTAAAAAAGGAGAATAAAAGAAAAAGTGAAATTCAAGAAATAAAAAAGGGGAGGAATTTGTGAATAAAGCTCGAGTGTGCATCTTACAGCTCTCTGATGAGACAAAAGGTTGTTGGCACACCCGCCGAACACAAACACCTCCCCGTCGGGGCCGGAGCACGCCGTGTGCCACAACCTGGAGACAAAAACACAAAAGTTTCCGTCCAGCTGAAGCCTGAGCGACGAGCCCGCCGCTGAACATTTCACTGTTTTCAGCAGGAAGAGAGACGTACCTGGGGCTCTCTGTGTGACCGTGGTTGAAAGGTTTCCATTCATTCTTGCTGACGCAGTACAGCCAACCATCACCTGGGAAACAAGAGCATCTCTGTGGAACTGCAGGCAACAAAGCTAATCGCTCGGGTGTCTCCCTACAGGTCAAAGGTCAAACTCACTCAGCGTTTCTCTCTCAGTGGTGAAACCTCCAAATAGGAAGATTTGGTCTGATGATACGGGCGTGAAGGAGTGCCAGGACCGGCCCACGGGACCCTGCTGAGGAACACTCCTACACCRCAACACATCCAACATTTAATAGAGATTTATATTTTCATGAGAAATTTAATGTAAATTCCAAGCTTAATTTACAATAAGAGACAACTCTGCTGAAAYCATCATTTTAGGCACTGCGTTAAATGCTGTAGAGGTTTTATCACATACTTAAATATATAAAATCATCATATATCAAAATATCAGAATCAGAATTATGTTTTGTATAGTGGTATTAATTTATATTTTCAGATCTTCCAAGGTGCCATTTATGGAACTCTGTGCATAGTTGCCCAAATCAAATTCTGGAAGTGGTCATTCAACTAGATCTGTTACAAAAGGACAACTGATATTACCAACTTTTAAAAACTGTTAYGGCCAGAGGTCTTTCTTCTATGTTTATACTAAAGC